AATCTAGATGTGGCCAGGTTGCATTCGTTTGAGGAAGAGTTAATGTAAACGAGTTACAGAACCAAATCGGGCACCGCAAACATCGTCTGGATTTTACAGACGTTGTTTTGATTGTGTGGGTTTAGGTTCTGCGATATGGATTTTACTCGGCTGTCTGGTAAATGCAGGAACAGTCAAATAAATGTAAATGAGATTAAATTAGACCCGTAGATGGCCAAGGGAATGAAAAACAGGAATTATCCAGATTTGAAGCAATATAAGGCAATCTGAAAGCTCATCTCAACCTAGGCTTGTAAACAACAAAGCTATTTAACATTCACCAATGACATGACAATTGTCCAGTCGGCGTTAGTAAGCAGCGGTTGCTTAAATGGACAGACCTGCCCCTGTCATAGAAACGTAGAAATTACACATCGAGCTCAGGGACCCCCCCCACCCACCCCTCCCCCCCCCCCCAAAAAAAAGATGAGTGAAGCACAATGCTAATTTCGAGCAGGGTGACATTTTGAAATTAATTCATGCCTGAAGGGACATCCTATGCGGTGATCAAGCTACGAGATCGGCTCGTGTGCAGGACCTTGATGGATTGTTGCATCGCGTGACTATGGGATGGCGACGACTTGTGGAGGCCTTCATCCAGCAGTGGATAGATAATGGATGATGATGAAGTTGAATTACGTGTATGCCATTCAGAAGCCGCTACAACACAGTAGAGGCACATGTCTCACTGTGCTGCCACACAGCAGGGATATCGTGGGCCTCTGGACATTCTTCAGGGACCCGTGTACACGAGATAAAAATAGCTGTGCATCTGTTTGTTTGTGTGCATGGTGGGACCTCACCACGTACAGGGACTATGAGAGTGATTTACATATCAAGATTCAGCTAAGACTCAGTGGAGGGGGGGGGGGATGGTGTCACGGCGGGCTAATTTTGGAAGAAATAAACACGGAGAAAAGATCAATGTTGGGAAAAAACGTGGGAAAGGGAAAGGTTTTAGGGGGCTGGCTAAGATACAGTGCCGGAGCGTAACAGGTCACCCTCCCGAGCGGTTAAACACAAGTCACCATTCTGGGCCATGATTCGATTCAAGAAAAAAATCTCCATCTCGTTCCGTCCTGGTTTCGCGTGTTTCATGTTTTATTTGTCAGCGCTTTGTAAGCCACATTACCCTAAATGCGCGCCTCCGATTAGCACGGTTGGCTACGTATGGTGCGAAAGAAGTTCAACGTACACACATGCACAAATGCAACATTGCAATGTAATTTGAATACTTCTTAAGTGACCGATTCTTTAGACACACAATGCAATGCATGCCTCATGAGCACAAGGATATTGTTTTAGTGATGAATTGGCGGCATCGTCACCTGCCTAATGAAATAAAGCAGTGTGAAGCCATGAACCACACTCCCTGGCAGTGCCCTGCAGGCCCTGTTGCTCCTGCTCTGCTTTCATAGTTTAAAGTTAAACTGTAAATAAGGCAGCGATTGTATATACATTATATATCATTCATAAATTGTTTATATATCGCCTCCTCCAGTGTCGGATTAAGCTAGAGCGGGGCCTGTAGCATATGTTATAAAGGGACCCTAATTTTTTTAAGAAAACAATATTAAAAGACAAATTTTTAACTTGCGCATTTTTTAATTTCCTACACAGCCAGATAATACGATAAATCGCTAACCTTAAACACCGAGTCGTTCATAAAAATTGAAGGCAATATAGTACTATAGTAATAGAGAAAGTGCAGAATCACTGAACTGTAATTGATAGCTTGAAAGCATTTAGCACGGGGCCCTTGAAAGTGCGGGGCCCGTAGCTACATATGTGGCTACTACATATGTAGCTACTACACGTGTAGCTACTACATATGTAGTAGCATATGTAGTAGCTACTACATATGCTACTCGGATAATCCGGCACTGGCCTCCTCATTGTTATTCGACCAAAACTACTCGTACATCTGCGATTAGCACGGTTGGCTACGTATGGAGCGAAAGACGTTCAACATACATACATAACTCTAACACTTATAACAGTATCCAAAATGCTGTCTCTAGTGCTAATAATAACACCGGGCCTTAACCGTGTTCCTAACATAAGTCGTGATCACAGCAGTGCTGGCTCCGTGATATACCCTGGCCATTAAAACCTCTACAGGCTACACATCCTCCTGAACGTCGCTCGTTTCACAAGCCCTTCTCAAAACACCCATCAATTGTAAAAAAAAAAACATTTCTGCGACTCGCTGGAAGGTGTTATGGCCATTTTAGGCAACATTTTTTTTTTTGCAAAAACATTTCAGAGGGTTTGTGTAATTTTAAATCACTGAATGAGTGACATTGTAGCATTACATTTAAAAATGTATATCTAAAGTTTTAACTCTTTTCCCCCTCAATTAAAAAGTTTGGCTGAGACTGAATACTTGGTTTAAATTATTTTATGAAATAGATGCCCACTTTGGTATTAACCTCACGAAGCGTGGTCGTTGGAAAATTACTGAGGAATTTGTTGATAAAAATTTTCCTTCAAAAGGCAAGTTGCGGTGTCCATTTTGAACATGAGCCAGAGCGAGATGTCCAACAGAACCTGGAATGTCGGCCGTAAAAAAGTTTCCCTTGCGTAAATCGAGGCCGGTTTGGGCCGGTCTGCTTTTGGGTTTTGGCTGGTCTGGATTTGTTGTTTATGCCGGAAATAGCCAACTCTCGAGCCACAGCACGTTGCGGTATCCTGACCAAAACATAGGTTCCACTGGGCTCGGTGTGCCAGGCTCACTGGAGCCCAGGGCAATTACTCTCAAACCTCTTTTTCATAAATGTCATCAACAACTCTGGCCACAAGATTACGTACGAAAAAAAAACACGTGAGCTTGCAAAGGCTACGGAAATTAATTTCATGTAAACATTTAGCAAATATATTACCCTTGGGTTCTTTTTAAGTGTGTCCCTACGCTTTAGTAAGTGCAAGGTTATGCTCGTCTCTGTTGGTAGTGTCTGAGGCAGCGTTTGTAAATTCCACATTATTGTGCTAACCAGACTAGTCCCTCCATAGGTCAGCCACTGTTGCTTTGTGGGAAACGGGTTGGTCAATCTTGAAGTGGGATTGATTAGATACGTAAAGATTCATCCTGCCATGCAACTCTTCCACCTCCCCGTGGCACAATTCATATCTCTTTTCCACTTTACAACCGAGCCACGCTGGGCCGTGCTGAGGCACCCTTCCTCTGGAGGCCCCATTTTGTTTTTTCCACTGCGCAAGTCGAGTATTGCCTCTGGCATCGTGCGTAAAGAACACACTCGGCCGGTGAAGCGGTCACACCATTCTCACATCGTACTGGCTCATGCCACATGCGATGGCCACGTTCGTCAGTCCTGGCCTTCGCCTTGCTTGGCCGAGTCTCGTGATATCATCGTTTGGTCACAACTCGGTATTAAAAATAGCCTGGAATGTCAATGTGGAGGTCACAATTCCATCAATATTCAAATATGATTGTTTTACTAATTTGTGTTGTCTCATTTTAGTATCGTCTTCATTTACATCAAATGTGTATACATTGTAATTAGTCCATGAAATGCATTATTCAATGTGTGTATCATGTATATACGAATCAATTATATGTTTGCAATTAATTATTGATGCATGTGATTAATATTTTATCTTTATCGGTCCCCTATTATGTCTGCCTTCATGCACTGTTTAATAAGACTTAGATGTTACCCATTTAAGTGTATTGGTAATAATGAATTATTGTGTGCCCGTATCAGCCCAAAAAATATTTAAAACTTCCATTTTACAGAAATGCAATTACCTAAAATTTGCAATGTTCACAAAACACCAGCAAATTGGTAAAGCCTACTCTTCTTTCACATATGCAAAAATCTCCACAGCAATGATTCTCCCACAACACTGGAATCATGGACTGCACTCTCATGCTCACATGCCCTTTGGATAGCACTCTCATGCTCACATGTCCTTTGGATTGCACTCTCATACTCACATGTCCTTTGGATTGCACTCTCATTATCACATGTTCTTTGGATTGCACTCTCATTATCACATGTCCTTTGGATTGCACTCTCATGCTCACATGTCCTTTGGATTGCACTCTCATTATCACATGTCTTTTGGATTGCACTCTCATTATCACATGTCCTTTGGATTGCACTCTCATGCTCACATGCCCTTTGGATTGCACTCTCATTATCGCATGTCCTTTGGATTGCACTCTCATTATCACATGTCTTTTGGATTGCACTCTCATTATCACATGTCCTTTGGATTGCACTCTCATGCTCACATGTCCTTTGGATTGCACTCTCATTATCACATGTCCTTTGGATTGCACTCTCATGCTCACATGTCCTTTGGATTGCACTCTCATTATCACATGTCCTTTGGATTGCACTCTCATTATCACATGTCTTTTGGATTGCACTCTCATTATCACATGTCCTTTGGATTGCACTCTCATTATCACATGTCCTTTGGATTGCACTCTCATGGTGCTAATATCTCATTAACACTGCTGTTGTGTGCATATGCGGGCATGATACTCTTATGCGGCGACGGAAGCTTATTCATGTTAATCTTCCTCCCTAATCCTTCTCCACCTAATCTCCCCCATTAACACAACGGACGTGCTTGCGTCCGGGGATGCAATTCCTTTCCAGCTCAGACCCAGCTTGCTTGCCCATCGCCACATCTATAACCTTGTTGTAACAGCTCTCTCGCAGGTTCAGCAGTTTCACTGCTGGATTATATTTTTTCCGCCTGAGGACGACCGCTTGTGTTGCGATCGAAACGTCGTGATTTATTCTATTTTATACCTACGTAACTTTACCGAAAGAACCAAAGAGTAACTATTGTAATGTACGAATGCATACACGGTTAAATGCTTGATATCGATTCACCTTGAGGATGATGATGATGATGATTATGTCTCTAAAGTCTAAGATCATGATTGTCTCTAAAGTCTAAACTCTCATATCACCCCGTTTCAGAATTCCGAAGATGACGATGACAGTCACGATGCCGTGGACAACCGCAAACAGGAAGAAAAACCCACGATGGCACCGAAACAGGACAATCAGGCCCAGCAGCAGCAGGCAGCAAACGCGGAAGATCAACGCGCAGCGGACGAAGACAGCAGCGACAAAGACGGAAGCGACGACGATGACGACGATGACGACGACGACGATGATGACGATGACGAAGGGGTGGCGAGCGAGCAGACGTCCGAGGAAGAGGAGTTCGTGAAGCCACACGTGAAAGCGCCCGTGCAGCAGGCGAGCGCCCCTGCCAAGACCGCCGACCCCACGCCCGAGAGGAAGCAAGCGGCGGCCACGCCAAAGCCCAGCGTAGCGAAGAAGGCGGCCCCGTTGCCCGCCAGCGAGGCGCCCGGCTCCAGCGGCTCCAACGGCAACCCCACGGTGGCTGAGGAGGCTCTGGAACGCGTGCGCGACAACGACCCCGAGACGACCGAGGTGAACCTCAACAACGTCGACAACGTGACAGCCGAGACGATGATCGAGTTCGCGCAGGCGCTGCGGACGAACGGCACCGTGCGCTCCTTCAGCCTGGCAAACACGCGGGCCGACGACCGCGTGGCTATCGCGCTCGGCGCCATGCTCGCGGAGAACGAGAGCATCACGAGCCTCAACATCGAGTCTAACTACGTCAGCGGAAAGGGCATCCTGGCCATCATCAAGGCCCTACAGGTCAACAGAACGCTCACCGAGCTCCGCTTCCACAACCAGCGCCACATTCTCGGTGGCAAGGCGGAGATGGAGATCGCCAAGGTGCTGCGCGAGAACGACACCCTCCTCAAGCTGGGCTACCACTTCGAGTTGGGTGGCCCCAGGATGACCGTCACTGGCATTCTGAGCAGGAACATGGACAAGCAGCGGCAGCGGAGGCTGCAGGAGCAGAAGCAAGGGCAGCAACAGCAGAAGCAGCAGCAGGACAACTCCGCCAGCCCGAAGCCCGTCAACAAGCACCTGAACATCACGTCGCCGAAGGCGTCCCCTCTGCCGTCCCCAAAAACCTCTCCTTGCCCCTCGCCCCTCGTCGCCAAGAAGGAGGTGAAGAGTGCAGCCCAGAAGACGGAGGTGCGGGCACCGGCCACACCTCGGGTTGCTCCACCTGCTGCTCCTCCTGCTGCTCCTCCTCCTCCTCCACCGCCTCCACCTCCTCCTCCGCCACCGCCTGCACAGCAGCAGCAGAAGGTGCAAGCCAAGCCCACGCGGAAAATTGCCGAGATCATCAAGGAGCAGGACAAGAGCAAGAAGGGCAAGAAGAGTAAGACGGAGGAGGGCGGCAGCAACAAGAGCAGGCACCCTCGCAACGGCGAGTCAAAACAGCTGGTCTCGCTCAAGGGCTCGCTGCGCCCTGTGTCGAAGAAGGTGGAGAAGAAGCAACAACAGGACGATTCTAGGCCCTCAACCCCACAGGCCAACTCACACGACCAGCTGATGGATGCTATAAAGTGCAGCACTATCAAGCAGCTCAAGAAGGTAAGCGTGGGTATAGCTGGGTCACAGCACATGCACATTGTCAAGTAAATGGGACAGCACTGCTGGGTCTACCAGTTTGAATTTTGGGCTATTATCCAAAGTTAAAACGGACTATTTGAGGAACTTTTTTATCATGGTTGTCGAGTGCGCATCTGAAAGCCAAAACACCAAGTGGCCAGATAATAAATTGCACTCTTGACAGTCGAACAAACACGAGCCAATATGGGTTACACTATACCCAGAGTAGCTGACTTACAATGGCAAAGTCATAAGGTTTGAAACAGCTACAGTGAGGGAAAAAAGTATTTGATCCCGTGCTGATTTTGTACGTTTGCCCACTGACAAAGAAATGATCAGTCTATAATTTTAATGGTGGGTTTATTTGAACAGTGAGAGACAGAATAACAAAAACAAAATCCGGAAAAACGCATGTCAAAAATGTTATAAATTGATTTGCATTTTAATTAGGGAAATAAGTATTTGACCCCTCTTCAAAACATGATTTAGTACTTGGTGGCAAAACCGTTGTTGGCAATCACAGAGGTCAGGCGTTTCTTGTAGTTGGCCACCAGGTTTGCACACATCTCAGGAGGGATTTTGTCCCACTCCCCTTTGCAGATCTTCTCCAAGTCATTAAGGTTTCGAGGCTGACGTTTGGCAACTCGAACCTTCAGCTCCCTCCACAGATTTTCTATGGAATTAAGGTCTGGAGACTGGCTAGGCCACTCCAGGACCTTAATGTGCTTCTTCTTGAGCCACTCCTTTGTTGCCTTGGCCGTGTGTTTTGGGTCATTGTCATGTTGGAATACCCATCCACGACCCATTTTCAATGCCCTGGCTGAGGGAAGGAGGTTCTCACCCAAGATTTGATGGTACATGGCCCCGTCCATCGTCCCTTTGATGCAGTGAAGTTGTCCTGTCCCCTTAGCAGAAAAACACCCCCAAAGCATAATGTTTCCACCTCCATGTTTGACGGTGAGGATGGTGTTCTTGGGGTCATAGGCAGCATTCCTCCTCCTCCAAATACGGCGAGTTGAGTTGATGCCAAAGAGCTCCATTTTGGTCTCATCTGACCACAACACTTTCACCCAGTTGTCCTCAGAATCATTCAGATGTTCATTGGCAAACTTCAGACGGGCATGTATATGTGCTTTCTTGAGCAGGGGGACCTTGTGGGTGCTGCAGGATTTCAGTCCTTCACGGCGCAGTGTGTTACCAATTGTTTTATTGGTGACTATGGTCCCAGCTGCCTTGAGATCATTGACAAGATCCTCCCGTGTAGTTCTGGGCTGATTCCTCACCGTTCTCATGATCATTGCAACTCCACGAGGTGAGATCTTGCACGGAGCCCCAGGCCGAGGGAGATTGACAGTTCTTTTGTGTTTTTTCCATTTGCGAATAATCGCACCAACTGTTGTCACCTTCTCACCAAGTTGCTTGGCAATGGTCTTGTAGCTCATTCCAGCCTTGTGTAGGTCTACAATCGTGTCCCTAACATCCTTGGAGAGCTCTTTGGTCTTGGCCATGGTGGAGAGTTTGGAATCTGATTGATTGATTGCTTCTGTGGACAGGTGTCTTTTATACAGATAACAAGCTGAGATTAGGAGCACTCCCTTTAAGAGTATGCTCCTAATGTCAGCTCGTTACCTGTATAAAAGACACCTGGGAGCCAGAAGTCTTTCTGATTGAGAGGGGGTCAAATACTTATTTCCCTCATTAAATTGCAAATCAATTTATAACATTTTTGACATGCGTTTTTCTGGATTTTGTTGTTGTTATTCTGTCTCTCACTGTTCAAATAAACCTACCATTAAAATTATAGACTGATCATTTCTTTGTCAGTGTGCAAACGTACAAAATCAGCAGGGGATCAAATACTTTTTTCTCTCACTGTATCACCTATCTGTTGTCCACCACTCTGCATAAATAAAAAAATGATTAGTCCATTAGCCTGAGGCCCTTCAGGACTAATGTAATTCATGACCCATTCAAACTTTATCTAGAGTTTGATTACTTGACCATTGCTGGACAAAAACGAGCTTGGACATCTCATAGGCTGACGGATGATATTAGTTTTGTGATGTGGAGGTACAACTTTTTATTATTATTTTATTTTCTTACACAGTTACTGAACACAGGCCCAAATAGGCCAAGTGGTCAGCAACATTTGCCTGCCAAAAAATGTATTTGTTACTTACCCATGATGCTTAGTGGCAGTACATTGTGAGTATGTTTGATTGAATTTTTGTCACTATTTCCCGACCACGATAGTGGAGGAAATCACGAACCACTACTTGTTTAAGCATGGAAAAACAAAACTGATGTTATTTGTAAAATAATAATAATAACTAAAAAGTGTTATATATATTACACGTAATTGATTGTGGGGTTGTTTAGCCATACTTCACCACAACTGTCCAGCAACGGTTGGTGAAGAAGGTTCTAGGAACAGTTTATATATAACTCGCCATTGATGTTAACCGTGGGCAGGAATCAAACTATGTCACCGGGTTCGTAGCAAAATGTAATAACCGAGTTCTTAATTGTGTATGCAAAATAAAATAAAAAGTGATCCTGCCACCTGCACACCATGAAAGGGTGCCACCGTGGGATTATGATGAAAGGAGTCATTGAATAAATGTGATGGAAAATAATTCCGTGAAGTCAGCAAATCTCTTGAGGCGTTAGTCGCCACCAAGGCATGAGAAGCTCTGCCGTCTAAAGAGGTTTTTGGAACATATATACGTCCATTATGTTTTGCCTGTGTGGCGAAAATCACAATTGGAATATAATTTGACAGAAGAAGCAGCATACATGTTTGAAGAACGAAATGGTATATAGAGCTCATGGGAAAGCAAGCATGAATACATAAACACAAAAACAGAGTGGGGTAACTTAATTGAATTCTTTTGAGCTTTTTCCTGATATAGCTGTATTAAAATGTGTGTTTGATATCGCATTCGTTTCACAAAGCCTCTCGTTGTCATGTGTCACAAATATTAGCCCGAGAGCGATCGAGCCCTCAGGTGCGCTTATGGGCCGTGCTGCGTGGATGTTCAGCACGAGGTCTGACGTTCCCCTCCACAAGCTGTTTCACTTCCCAAGCAGGCTCACGGCAACGTGCCAAAACAACACGCGGTAAAACCCAGAAACACGTCGAAAGAGCTGTGTGGCACAACCGCAAAACCCTACGGGAGCAAATATGTCAGAGTCAAAGTGGGCCCCTGCTCAGACTTGCAGTGGCGTGGTGCTCATCACCTCCAGCGGTGGCTCCGAGCCAGCACTAGGAATCCACATGTACCGTACCTCCGATGAGCACGGTTGGCTACGCACGCGCGAAAGAAGTTCAACGTGCTTACAGTACATACGTATTCGGTACAAACCGATCTCTCTACAGCACAGCCACTGTTAGCTTCTTACAAAGCGGTAGGCATTTTATTGATCCCCAAAAGGATGTTAAGCCGAGTTGACCCTTGACCTTCAGATTATGGGTCAAGTATTCTGACCAATGTGACACGACTGGAGCACAATTTCATACAACAGCGGTACAGGTGAACAGAGTTTTTATAAAGGCAAAGCCACGTCACATTCAATCATTGGCCCTTTCTGGGATATGTACATGCTACACTTGGATTGAACCGCATCCACTAAAAATACTGCAAGTATTATAAAAGTTTCCCAAATTAATATTAAACAGCATTGGCATACATTCACATTACATGCCCCTGTTTTTTCGAACTTTGACTTGGACATTCATAGTAAGCTCCACAGGCGGAGCCAGTGGGAAGGGGGGGTGTGGGGTGGCACGTGCCCCCCCAATGATCCGATCGAAATCCCTCATTTCGACCCCCACTGCCACTGTGTAGCATATTATTATGTGCCAGGGACTCTATGAGATGATAGGACAATAGTCTGAGTCCATAATTGGCAATACAGTAAGTAACGGCAAAGCAGTTATAAGTGACTCACAGAATTTTGCGCAGTTGCGTATAGAGTACACGACTTCCCTGAAGGCCTTCACCTTCAGCGAGCGCGATGACGATCACTAACAACGCGGTTCGAATTCGACCCTCGATCGATGGCTGCGCCATCGCTGCACACGCGTCAAATAAAAAGCAAGGGACAAGTCCTTACTTACAAACAACGCCTATCATTTTTAATTGCTGGAGGGGTTCCCCCCCCCTACCTGAAAATACTGGCTCCACCATTGGTAAGCTCCCACCTCATTTATGTTGAAGACCTCTGGTCCATACTTTACTCGATCCAATGTGAATGTGTATGCATTTGCTTGATAGAAATCTCTGATTAGGCACACGTGTTCAGCCACTCAATGCAGCTTATAAGAAACCTATTCTGAACAGCCCATTCAATAATGTATTCATTAGCAATCGCGCACAAGATACACACAAAACACAGAAACACTTTCACCCAAGAATGTGCATCTCTGCTGCATCCTTTCCAATGTTTGTCTTTTAAAAGACGTAACATTTTATTGTTGATTTTTTTTTAATATTTAGAATGTTAAGAATCCAAGCATACTACCTGATATGTATGACAAGGTTCACAAACATGGCCATTCACAGCAACAACAAAATGGAACAAAGACTGCAGAGCACACAAAGGAGCATGGAGAGATTCACAGTGGAAATAAGATTGAGAGACAGAAAGAGGAGCACGTGGATTAAAGAACATATGCTGGTCAGGGATATCATCCAAACTGGTAACCAAAAAAGTCAGTGAGCTTGTGCAGGAAACGTCGCGGGATGGGATGGTGAATAATGGTCAAGAATAGTGGCGGGTTGGCAGCAAAGGAATTGACCTTGTCCAAGAAGGCCAGCCAGGTATCATGTGTATGTATATTGAACTTATTTCGAACTTCATTAGACCTCCTTTGCCAGTACCAAAATGTAATAATAGGGTTTTTCCCCTTTTTTCTGGCAACAAAACTGAAACCTTTTTACAAGGATTCATGTCTGCATTAACCACAATACCTGCAGTCA